TTCTTCCTTCTACGATGCCACATTTATCTGGTGCTCTGATGTTGTTTCGGACTTTCTCAGTATCTTCAGCTGCTACCTTCTCTACAGTATGTTGAAGTCAAGACTCTGGCCTGCTTCTTGGATGTTTACATTCTTCCTCAAGGCAAATATCATGTGTATTTCCTGCCTGAATAACCCTTCTCAGTTGTAGATATAGGTACCTAGCTGTCTGTTTAAGATATATACTCGAGGCTCTTACAGGTATTTCACATCTTATTTTTCCATTGAATAATTATACCATATATATATGCAAATTAGAAATACAGATTCACTTTTGCTTCTTACCACTACCCATGCTATTACTTTTTGAGTATTGGATATTAAATAACATATATGCGAATGCTGCCCCTTTTGTGGTAAGCACTGTCTTCTTTGCACCTATAAATTTTTAAACATTTTTATGATTGAGAGTATAATTACAGCATTTCTTCCTTCTTTTTTCTTGCTCCAAAACTTCCTTTATACCCTCCCATTCTCTTTCAAATTCACGCTCTTCTTTCATTGTTATTGTGTGCAAACATATATACATACACATATATACATATATTCCTAAACATAATATTCTCAGTTCATATAATGTTGTTTGTATTAAGCTTTTTGGGCTGACCATTTTGGCACTGGACAAGCAGTTGTTGTGCTCTTCTGTGGGGAGGACCACCTCTCCTGCCTCCTTGTAGCTCTCATTCTGCCAACATCAGCATCTCAGCGGGGAGGAACAGCCCTGGGAGGCTGCTTCTCATTACTCTTGTGAACTCATTTCAGGTGCTTTCCTCCCTGAAAGCAGAGAGGAGTTCCCATCTCAAGGCATTTGCCCTTGAGATTTACTCTGTTTCCTCAATGTTTGCAACCTCTTCAAAGGTCACCTGAATATCTGCAGTGTTCCTGGACTACCTAACATTTCCCTCTCGTTTAATTGCTCTGTATCACACCTTCATGCTTAAGCCCTTTAGAGTTTTATAATCCAGGTCTAATTCAGAAGATTGGAGAGATGAATTATAAAGATCTGAATCCATTCCACAGCATCTGCAGTAGAATTGCCAGGCAGAGTAGCGTTGTCCCTGGAACCCCAGCACGGGTGAAGCTGACACAGGAGGACACCTGGGCTTTGTAGCACACTAGTATAGCCGAATTGATAAGCCCCAGGTATAGTGAAAGACCCTGTTTCAATGCACAAGGTGGAGCAGTGACTGAGGAAGATATCTGAGGTCAGCCTCAGGCTTCTGTGTGCGTGCACAACCACATGCACCTCATCCTCCCTGCACAAAATAAAAGAAGGTATGGTTCAGGAAGAACCCCAGTGGCACAGAGGGCGAGCAAGCTAGAATCCCATGCTTCACCTGAGATGCTCCACACCAGAATCTGTAACCAGAAAGGATACTCAGTGAATCATCGAGATGAAAGCGAGAGAACTACTTTGAAGCTCTGACCACACCTGCATTTGTTCTTTGGCTGTCCCCGTCTACCTTCTCTGCTTCCACCACAGTGGGCTTTATCTCTGTCCAGCACAGCACTCGGCATTTTCGACAACTTCGACAGTTGCCTCTCAGTGTGTATTTGATGGGTGTTGAGACATCCGCTCTAACTTCCATAAAGTTAATCCATAAAGAAATGGAGGCTCAGAGAAAATAAGTGAATGTTTTAAAGTCGCATAGCTTATTATTAATAAAGCCAGGATAGAATTGAGCACATTTGTAGCATGATATGCACCTTATCCTATTGTGTGTATAGGCTTCTGAAATTTATAACAATTGTTTGTTATCAGCGCTGTCCTTTGACATTGGCTTTATATAAACCAACTTAACATAAAATACCCAGGTTTAGTCTTTCCTTTTTCTTTGACTAAGAACAGAGAAAATGTTAAACACAGCCTACAATTTTGTAGAATCTTTTTATTAATGGGTCAAAAGATCTCTGAAAAAGAAATGTAAGAAAATCTCTCGCAGGAAGAGCTGTCAAAGAACCCATTTAGTGTAGATGGCAGCTCTGTGGTGAGAACTGTCTAATTGCTCTTGCCAGTATTCCTGGAGGGTGTCAGAGGCCACCCAGGGATCTAACGTAGGTTTTGAAAAAGTGGCCCCTGATTTATTTTAATTGTTGCGACTGGCATTTATACTTACTTTTGCCTAATTATAAAAGTTCTCTCTGTGGATACGCTGTGCTTATCACTCACAATTTAATGGCTAACATCTTCCAACTGCTAATTGGCGTGCAACAGATGAACCATGACATCGAACCTCCGACCCACATTCTCTAAATACAGATTCTTTGCAGCCAGAGGTGCTAGTTACAGACACTCTGAACATGTTTGTTTTCTTTTCGTAAAAGGAGAAAATCAACTCAAGGACAGTGGTTCTGATGGGGAAGGTGAGCTATGTAGAGAATCTACCTGCTAAGGGTATATTCCTATCAGCCCTTGTGGGTAAGAAAATGACCTAAATTACTCAGCCCGACTGGCCACTAGCACAGAAGTCTTGTGTACTAACATCCTGATGCATACTCATCTGTATATATTTTTTATTATAATAAATCACAAATAGACCTTTTTACTGGTAATGTACTTCATAATGATTATAATTGCATACTTCAGTAATAAGTACGTGCATAATGGTGCGGAACTATTATCATCAATACTGTTTCCAGAACCTCCCCTGTACTCCGAAGGATCACTCTGCACCTATTAAGTAATAATTTCCCACTCCCCTGTACCCCAAAACTTAGGGAGTCATTATTCCACTCTCTTTCCTTGTGAACATATCTATTTTATGAGTCTAATGTAGGCAGAATCATGGATTTGTCCTTTCATTCTTTTGGTGCATTTTACCTGGTGTGATGTCTTTAAGGTTCATCGACTTACAAAATAATCTTAAAAGTTATTTCAGGTGGTCAACACCTTGAAGATGAAAAATGTGTGTTGGCTACTGGACATGGCCTTAGGGTTGATCAGACAAGAATGACAAAAAGCAGCCAAACGCTGAGAGCACATTTTATAAAGAATGGGTATTAATGCTGGAGAGATGGCACAGTGCATCAGAGCACAGCTGCTATCCCAGAGGACCCAGGTTTGATTCCCAGGACCTACACAATAGCTCATAAATCATTGATAACTTCAGTTCCAGGGGATTTGACACTCTCTTTTGACCTCTGTGGGCCCACATGTGACGCATATATATATATATATATATATATATATATATATACATACATGCAGGCAAAGTACTCATACACATAAACTAAGTTTTTTTTTAATTATAGAGAAGAATGAGCATACAATACAAAGCCCTGAGGAGGAAGATGATTCAGAGGTTCTCTGAGTCTTTGAGTTAGAGCCTGAAAAGAGCACACAGAAAACAAACCATTATCACCTTCTTTATTAGGCTCTTTTTCTCAATCAATATGGCTTAAGTTAAAATTAGGTTTGGTGAGCAAATCACTGTGTTTTTATTGGATTAATCTTCTCTCTCCGGTGTTTGAAGGCTGGAGCTTAAGTATAGATGGGTGCTTTAGGTAAACAATCCTTTTTGTGTGAACTCTAGCCCTAAGCATTTCAGTTAATGTAGGGAAAGACAGAGTGAAGGGTCTTCCACAGTCCTCCCACTGGCTAAGGATCATTTCTTATCCCCAGTGGCATGCTTTCTTCTGTACTTGTCGACGGGAAGAAGTTGTGAACAGGGTCAAATTTAGAACTGAGCCAACTCTGGATATTAGGGGTCAATGCTCATTTTAATTTTTCAGTCAAAGAAGTGCGGTATAGACAGGAGATTCTTGGTTCTTGGGACCTTGTGTTCTGTGTGTTGTGTTGAAGTGAAAAATGTCCTCTCACACACCAGACACTCAACTGTCCCAACGACTTTGACTTTCTTCCTTCAGTTTTTTGTGCTGACGTGGACAGTTCACGTCCAGAAGTTTAAAACCATTTTCAAACTTTTTTTGTTTGTTTTGTTTTTTGAGACAGTGTTTCTCTCTGTAGCCTTGACTGTCCTGGAATTCATCCTGTATACTGTCCTGGAATTCATTCTGGCCTTGAAGTCACAGAGATCAACCTGCCTCTTCCTCCTGAGTGCTGCTATTAAAGGTGTTTGCCACCACTATTTGATTCAAACTTCATAAGAAGAGCTTTTTGTGACATTAGGAACATGATTGTTTCTTACAGTTTCTGAGAAACCAGAAAATATTTTGCTTTCATTGAGAAGAAGCACTCACTTCAAGTTAATAAAACAAAATGCTGAGCTTATGCTTCTAGAAGAGATTTTGTAGAGTCTAATCAGGTGCTGAAATTGGCAAGAACACAAATTTGAGGTATCAACATGCCATAAGGTGACAGCAAAGCAACACAGTCATGAAGTAGACGATGACATTGAGCTTCTCGCCTCATACACTTCCCAGAACCTGAGGTCATTTGTGAATTATGACAAGAACACCTTTCAAGCATGGCTGTCCCTTCCCAGACAGCCCACCTATAAAACACAGCTTTTACTCAAGCCATACTGAAACTCAGAAAAGAGTAGCCCTTGCATTCATGCAGCCCTTGGTTTCAGTTCCTATCATTCATTGATCAACCGTCATTTCCTCCATCTGATAAGCGAGAATGATGCATTGAACACACACCAGTGAGTAAAACAACCGGGGTCCTTGTGTTATGGTGCCTGCACTGTAGATGAGACAGGTGTGCCAAACAAATCGACCAAGTGAATACCTGAGTATTATACAAGGTGACTCTCTGAAGGGAAGAACAAAACAAAATAGCACCACGCAGTCAAGGCTAGAGATTCCCCTCCTCAGACCTCTGCACATGTTCTCTGGTCATCCGGGAAAGCCCAACAGGACTTGGGCAAGTTTAACTGTTACTACTGCTGATTGATGGTGAAGTGAACTTCCTGGAGATTGAACGGAAGCTGAATTTTTTTTCCGGTGTCTTGGAGACTCCCTCACATCTCTGTGTTTTGTTTTCACATGTCCTCCAGTTCCAGCGAGGGTTTTGGGTCCGTGGAGAAGGTCGTGCTGCTAACATTCCTCTCAGTGGTTATCCTGATGGCCATCCTGGGCAACCTGCTGGTGATGGTGGCTGTGTGCAGGGACAGGCAGCTCAGGTGAGCACTGCAAGGGAACCTCTACAGAAACACGGGTGTCAGAGGGATCACCCTGGAAAACTGGCTCTGAACAAGTTCCATTTTAATTTCTCACGTTCATGAAAGACAGAAAGACAGGTTTTGAAAGACAGAAAAGGGATCATACATAATCCTACAACTCCAACACTAACATAACCGCAGGAGCACCCTGAGCTAATTCCATCATGTCTGTTTATCTATGCTGTGCTGCATTTGTTTAAATAGCTGTGGTCAACATATATATACATACACCCTTCTGCTACCAATGATTCAGGGCAGAGTAAGAATAAACATTGTATCTATCACATTTTGTCCATTATCAGTGTCAACTGTGATTACATTTATAATCACCTGAGATATTTTTCAAAATACTACTGTATGATATTGGTATGTCCTGTGCAATATTGTGGAAATATTTATGCTTAAAAAAGTAATTCAGTGTTAAAGGTCAAACGGCCATCCTGTATCTTATGTAGCAATCTTCAGTGGAGGAAGATGTTATCCACAAAATGTTTTGTCTAATTGTTCTAGGTTAAACTCTGGGCACTGATATTTGCTAAAATCCACCAAATATTTCTAGTGTGTGGCCTGGTATAAGGAATGTAGGGCCGTGAAGGAAGAGATGAGCTAAAGGTAGCTCATTTCCAAGCAGGACCTGCCCTGAACCAGTGAAGAGCGGGAGAAAGGGCCATACAGAGATTTGGCTGGGGTCACACACACATAGGGGGTACACAAGAGGACACCGTAGTAGCTGCAAGTACTACATTGACATTGTCTGTGAGAACAGCATCTCGAGAGGGCTCTGTGGGAGCGCCTCAGCCAGGGCCAGAGCCAGGGTGGACAGTGACTGGAAGAGTGGGTGGGGAAGAGTGTGATTGTGTGGAGCCTCAGAACCCTTCTCAATACACTGGTGGCCTCTGGTCAGGCCAGAAAAGAGAGGGAAAGGTATCTTTGGGCTTGAAATGGGTCTGGAGAAGTCAGAAGAGGCTGGACCAGAGAGTGTCTTTTTGGTCGTGGTACAGAAGGGAAAACTGAGTCTTGGGAATTAAGTTTAATGTGTGACTTTTCTTTCCTTGTCTACCTCCCTTCTTTCCTTCCTTCCATTTCCCCCAATTCTTCTCTCGCTCTTTCCTCCCACTTTTTCTCCAAATCCTTGCCCTGCCACCTTGCTCATACTTTTTTCACTCACAGGAAAATAAAAACCAATTATTTCATTGTGTCTCTTGCCTTTGCCGATCTGCTGGTGTCGGTGCTGGTAATGCCTTTTGGTGCCATTGAGCTGGTCCAAGACGTCTGGATTTATGGGGAGATGTTTTGCCTGGTCCGGACCTCTCTGGATGTCCTGCTCACCACAGCATCAATTTTTCACCTGTGCTGCATCTCACTGGACAGGTAAGAGCTGAGCAACAGGCAGAATGGAAGCCAGTTGACACCAGTGAACTAGCAGATACTAGCCAGTGTCTTTCCTTCCTAACCCATCTCCCGAAATTAGTTCCAGAGTCAGAGATGGAAAAGGTCAGCGATTCCTGCACCAGGGCAGTCCTCGTGGAGGACTTCTTCCCAGTCAGGGACTCTCAGGGATGTTGAAGATTCAAAGCTTGCACGGTCTGGCAATTGCTTGTAGATAGGTATCCTTTATCTACGTTTACTTCTAGCTTTATATTATTGACAGGAATGAGAGGCTAAGGGAAATAGGTAGTAAGATGAAAGTGTCTCTGCCCAGGAGGGTCTGGGCCAGTTCAGAGTGATGTCACCATGTTTGAGCATGACTGTCTCCTAAAATATGCCCACATGATAACTAAAGTCTAGGAAAGTGCCTGTGATCATGGGGATTTTTTTCCCTAGAAAGTGAAAGTTGATAATAAAATTTCTAGTAATTACTGTTTTAGAAATTCAGCTTATCATATCTATCCCAGTGTTAACTGTGGGCTCTTATTGTTCCTTTGTTTTGTTCTGTTTTTTGTTGGTTTGTTTGTTTATACAACAAATTATTAGGTTGTCTAATAATTTCAACCTTTGCCCCGTTTGTTGGGAGGGTACGGTTATCAGTCTTTCTCTTCTCCACTTTCTGTTCACTCTCATGGACGAACAAATGAAAGAATGTTCTTTAGAAGTCAGACAACTCTGAGAATGTATGTGGTGTAGGGGTGAGGACAGAAGAAAATGTGAATCAGAAGTTTCATGAGCTTAGATTGTCAGGGACAGCATCTCACTTTCTCCCCAGCTGCCCTGAGACCTATTTCCCTGGCTTGGGAAAGATGCGTTTCTTAAATCGAGAACTTAGAAAAATAGTCTGCAAAAGTTAGATAATGTTATATGTCTAAAATATTCATCTTTAAAGAGTAAAGTAATGGCTTCTTAGAAAATTACTCATCGGGGGCAGGTCCTTAAGAGCTGCAATGTGCTGTGGTAACAACAGCTTCACCCCTTCCCTATGAGAGCACCGATTGGAAGGAAGGCAGGTGTGACAGCGACAGCCTCCTCCATCTCTTCCTCCTCCCCCGCTTCTTCTTTTTGTTTGTTTGTTTTTCAAGAAAGGGTTTTTCTGTGTAACAGCCCTGGCTGTCCTGGAACTTGCTGTATAGACCAGGCTGGCCTTGAACTCACAGAAATCCTCGTGCCTCTACCTCCCAAGTGCTGGGATTTAAGGCGTGCACTACCACCGCCTGCCTGGCAAGCCTGCTCTGTTTAAATCACTTTCTTTGTTCTTCTGACAAGAGCACAACGTCAAATTGCCTAGGTTCTGTGCTGGTATAATGAGATTCCACTGCATAGACAGGTGCCAACAGCAAGACCCACCGTGAGTCCTAATTAGAAATTTCTGTGTCTTAGCTTGCTTATAATTGCACACCAGTGTCTGAAGAGCATCTCAAAGACATTTTCTACTACATGAAATTTCATATTACAGAAAGGAAAATATGAGGAAGGAGAAAATGCAGGGAAATCTCAGAGATTAGCCTGTATATCTTCATTGCTACAATGATCTGTAAGACTTGACATAATATAGAATCTTAGAGAAAAAAAGCAAGGCTGGGGATGAAAGGGAGCTGGAAATCAGGGAGATTTTGGCAAAAGCCAGGAGAAAAAAAATGAGCCATGTAGGGAATAAAAAAGGGAGAAAATTCATCTTTCTGCTGTGGAGAGCAGACAGCCCCAAAACAAGAGCCGAAGGTCTCCCATGGGGTTTGGCTTCAGATTTACAGATTTAAGCTTATACTCCCTCATGAACATTTCTTCACGAAGGCTCACATTGTAGGGAAGCAGTTAAGAATTGGACATTAAAAGCCATCTGTTTTCAAATTTGAGGGATTTAACTTTAAATTTCAGCTCTGTTAGATTTTGCCTCTGAGATTGGCAGTGAGTTAATAAGCCTTTCTGAGTCTCAGTTTTCTTTGTTTCAAAAATAAAAAAAAAAAAGAGGCTAAGGAACTGATGTTGCAGGACTGACTGCAGCTAGGAAGAAACGAGCTAGGCTGCCTGAGGGAGACATTGTCCACTGTGACGCAGTACTGCGATGAGTGGAAGGTGCTACTGAGCTAATCGTCGTCTGCCTTAGCAAGGTTTGACTTCCCTTACAACACCAGAGCATCCTCTGATTGTTCTCCTCGCATCGGTTTATCATCTACTCTCACAAGATCAAACAAATGCCAGCCTTCCAGACAGCGACTCTGAGCATTCCTGCTTGTCTGGGACTTTTCAGTAGTTACTCGCTTTGAGATATGACCACATTTCTTGATGTGGGGAATCTTAACGTTTAATTTAATTCATTTTGAATTCAATTGAATTTATTTAGAATTTTATACATAAGTATTGGATTTATGGTGTTTCTACCCCACCGTCTCCCTACACCCTCCCATGTCCTACTTCCACACACCCCCCCATCCTGCTGAGTCCATTAGTGTCTCTCACGTGTGTATGTGTTTAAGGCTGAAGACTTGGCACTGGATAACCTCATCTCTGGAGAAGACAGATTCCCCTTCTCTCGGCAGTCACTGCCTGCCTGCAACTCTTCTTCTGAGGGTAGAGCCCTGAGATGTCTCCATCTGTGTTGGCCTGCTGATTGGTGCTATCATCACGCAGGTCTTCAGTCAATGAGATTGAGATTTCATGAGTGTAGTAGCTGCCTTGTCCTATATAAAAAAAAAACACTATCTTGCAGCAGATGTCCTGGTGGTCTGGCTCTTACAGTCTCTCCACCCCTTCTTCTACAATGCTTCCCGAGCCTTAAGTGTAGAGGTTACATTTTATATATTCCAATTGGGGTTGCATCCCAGTGACCTGTTACAGCTTAATCAATTGTTGATTTCTTAATTGTCCCCATCTGCTACAAAATGAAGCTTCTTTGAGGAAGGGATATCTCCCCTTATCTGTGGATATAAGGGTAGGTATTTAGAATGCGATTAGAGATTTTACAGGCTTTCAGAAGGTAGCGGTAGTAGGTTCTCTTTTAGAGTCCAATACTCGACCAGCCATGCGTAATTGAGTAGGTTTACAATACCAGCATGGATTCTCTCTCTCATTGAGTGGGCTGTAGGTCCAATTAGACGGCTGTTGTTTACCCCTGAGATTTGTCACTCTTGGACCTTTGGCCTTTGTGGTGACATGTAGGCTTTACAGTTGGGTAGGAGTGCTGTTCTGCCTTGACAGATTTTTAGGAAACATCTGTGTCATATCCATGTTGATCCCTGTGTTTGAAGTGTGCAGTGTTTTCAGCAACAGGGTTTTACCTTCAAGTTCTTGGAGGAAATCAAGGGCAATGGCCATAACCTGTGTTGGTTTGGGTTGCCTCTTGTCTACCCTGACCAACAGCTTGAAGGGAAGTTTCCCGTGCCCAGCACTTGGGTTTGTTAGCTATCTATAGCTCTTGGGGAGAACATTATTACTACAAATGACATACTTCATTTAAATTAACTTACCTATATTACACATGATTTTAAGTAAGCATAAAATGATACTTCCCTGTAGCCTTTTCAAATATTTTTGCATTATTTATCCCTCCCCTCTCTACATTTAAAATTTCCCCTGATTTTTTCTATTTCCCCCTTATTACACCTGCATCTTACTATTCCTCTATGAAAAATATTTTTATCAAATCTTCAAGAATTACATATAATTCATTTTGATTTTATTCACCCAACTCTTCCCCCAAACTCCTCCTAGTTCTACCCTATCTCCCAAACTTATGCCCCTCTTTAAAATAGCTTATCGCCTCCAACTGTGCTGCTCAGTTACCTCTAAGTGTGGGGCCAAGCACTGGAGCACAGTCGATCTACTGGGGGCCATGCCCTTAGAGCAAACTGACTCCCCTACCTGAGAAGGCATCAACTGTTCATAGCTCCTCAGGTAAGTGTGAAGGCTCATCTTCTTCTCTCAGTGCTAGAATTGGCTTGGTGTTGTGCGTGTCCTGTGCAGGCAGACAAAGCTAATGTCAGTTCAGCAATACGGGGTCCTGCCATGTCCCAAAGACGCCAGTTTTCTCCAATTTTCTCTAATCTCTGGTTCTTCTGAGCTCTCTGCTTCCTCTTTGCTTCAGTGTCTGAGCCCTGTGTTTCTCTCTCTCTCTCTCTCTCTCTCTCTCTCTCTCTCTCTCTCTCTCTCTCTCTCTCTCTCTCTCTGTGTGTGTGTGTGTGTGTGTGTGAGCAATCTAGATGTTTCATTTGTGGCTGAGCACCCCACTGACACTTAGACTCTGCGCATAGACCAATTACGAGTTTGTGTGTTAATCACCATCCACTGCACAAAAAAACTTTTCTGATGAAGTCTGAGAGTGGCTATGATTGATCAGTACAGACAGTTTTAACTATTTTCTGTCTCTGTAGCAAGTTTCCTTTCAGACCCTTCCCTAGCCCTGTTTCTTGGCTCTGACTACCTTGATCTTTTCTTTCTCCTGTTGCTTTCCAGGCATTGGCTCCTCTCTGTCCCTGGAAAGCTCCTTTGCCCTCTGTGAGACTTTCCGGTTTAGCTTAGTCATATACCCCTGCTGCAGAAGTCATCTCTATTTTCCTCAGACGTGTTCTTTATAGAACTCATTGCATTTTTTATTAAATGCAGTTCTGTAATGTCTCCCACAAAGTCCCTTTTTTCTCCCATGTGGGAGGAAGCTGTGCATTATGAACAAGGCCAAGAGGATGTTTGAATCTGTGGAATTTGCATTTAATGACAATTTTGGCAATTAAACAGTAGCTGCATATAAATATTTATTTAAGTATGTGGCAAAATTTCATTTTCTTCCCCTAGTAGACATCAGAAACTTGAACACCCAAGGAAGATGGGACTAGACAGCGTTTGTCTCATTTTGCTTTTCTTTATCTCCAGCATGATCCTATCCCAGGTGATGCCCTCACTGAGCCAAAGGATCCATCCTGAACATTACAGACAACACCTTCTTTGCT